TTAATTAATAACTTAGAATTTTTTTTAATTTATTAAATATATTTATTAAATAATATGTAAATGTCTAAATAATAAAATATTAAAATCAAAAGTATCATGTTGTAATAAGAATCGATAGATGTTATAATAAAATAACTTTGAAAGTACAATGTTTAATAAGAAATGTCGCTTCATATATAATACATGGACAGTAAGGTGATATGAAAACATGGTATAATGAGTAAATGCAAATCAAAAGGTTACACAATGTTATAATAGGTAAATTTTTCAAAGTACGATATTCTAATAAAAAATAATTTTAAAGTACATTGTTATAATAAAAAAAACTGAAAGTAAAATACTATAATAAAGAAATTCATGGTAGTACATTACTGTTTTATGAATTATCCCCTTATTTTTATATTTTAAAAAATGAAATACACATCTTTTTTCCTTAAATGTATTTCAAACATCTTATTGAATAACCAACTATTTTTAAAACTATATGTCAAGTTAAAAGTTGAATATATATATATACTACATTAATAAACATTTAAACCAAAGTTTTAAGTACAAGTTTTAATGCATTAAATACAAGCTTTTAAAACACAAAATAAAAAAAAATCTCTTAATTACAAGGTTATATGCATGATGTACAACTTATTAATACACTAATTTTTCACCACAACCAAAAATAGAGTCCTAGACTCCCTTTTCTTCTACAATAGTCTCAAAAGCTCTCATTTGGTATAAACTTTATTTTCTCTCCTCAATATAAAGTTTTCTTTTCTTTTCTTCAACATTCATATTTACATATAAATACCCACTGAAACACAATATACAAGTATTGTATGCATGTTCTGAATTCTTTAAAAGCTTTTAACCCTTTTTGTCTTCACACAAAACTAAAATTTCTAGTTGCTTTCACCTTTTTGGTCTAACTTTACCGATGCTCTGCCTCCAATACCATTTACCTTTCTCTTTTATTTTTTGTTTGAATTTCAAAATTCAAATGGAAGAACTAACTTGTCATTAATTTATAGTCTCCTGGTGATTCTTGCCTCATTTCAATTTTGCTTACCCAGTGCATTGCACATATACACTACTAGTATATAAATACACACACACACACACATACAGGGGCGGATTCACCATGTAAAAGGTGGGGGGAAGGGCCTCCATTAAAAAATAAAAAAATGAATTTTTTTAAGGTTAAAAATTGTCTTTTTTACTTTCTACTATGGTTCTCCTCCGTAATTTCTTGTTAGGGCCCCCACCAACTAAAGAAAGTATATTGAAATCAACAAAAAAACTGAAAAGTTTCTCAAAATCGATAAGAAAACCTTAAAAAATCCCTCGAAATAATCCAAAAAAACTTCAAAAATCTCTTGGAATGGTGGAATCAGGCTTAAAACACATCGGACGACTTGGTGGACGTTTAAGCTACCTTAAAGATGCCCCCACTAGACCAAAATCATGGATCCGCCACTGCACACACACACAAAAATAGTTGGTCGTCTTTTATAATGATTGATGTAGTTTTAGTCTTCTATTACTTACAAATGTTGGATTAAAAAAAGGAATGATTTAGATGGGTTCTCTTGTTTTTTTTCTTTAAATGTTCAATTTTAAATCTCTTTTTATAAAATAAATAACATAAAAAATAAAATACTTCTTTTAGGTCTGTATTTTTTACCATTTACTTTCAAAAACTACATCTAAAAATTTGTAGTTTGAAAGTTATTGATTTTAGTTTTTTCTAATATTGACATATTATTAGTAAATAAAATAAATAAAAATATATTTAAATAGATATTTTTGTTTAACTCATAAAATATCATGAAATTATTTAGTAATGGCGGGTCCAGAGTGGAGCCCAGGTCTGATAGGAGCCTCACCTGCACGTGGAGCGTCCACCATGGCTCATAGGAACAGTGATGCTTCATTTATGGGGGACCTCACCATAATATTAACGTTATCCGCCATTCCTCACCATTTATGTTTTCTTTTCGTATATTTATTAAATAATTTAATAAATATAAATATATATATATATATATATATATTTGAAAATTTAACCTCATTTAATGTATATAAAAGTCCGTTTGGTTTGCATATTAGTTTTGAGGGATTTGGATTTCATGAAAGAATTTAGATTGGAATGAATTTGAAACCATTCGTGTGTTTGATTTGTAGGATTTGGAATGAAATTGAATTTCATAATTTATAAAATAATTTATAAAAAAAATTATAAAATAATTATTAAAATAATTGAATTACATTTTTATTCATCAATTATTACAAAACAAATGTTTTTAACATTTTTTTAAATTTTATTGCATACAATCCTACAAAATCCCGTGAAATCCTGAGCACTTCCTAAGGATTTCAAAATCCTATGTTTGAAGGATTTCAATTAAATCTTAGGGTGCGTTTGGTTTGCAGG